AGCATGTTTACCCAACTTATGTGTGCCTGCACTACATCTTCAGTAGGTAATCAAATACAAGCATGCCTGTCAAAGGCCAGATGTACTCAGCTGAAACTGTTCTACTCAAGAAGGAAGGTAGCCAGCATTTTCATTTCTTTTACCTACCTCATACTGAAATAAAATCTAAAAAATAAAATTTAAAAATATAATAAAAAAGAACAAAAATGAATAAAAAATAAAAATAAAAAAAATTTGCTAACACTGTAGCTGGCATATGATGGTGCTCTAACAACAAAAGCCCTAGGCAAACACACAAACTACAGGGTCTCCACATGTATTGCTTATAATTGTTACCACACATGACTTTGCTTAAAAGACTTTGTTTCCTTATAGTTTTTGGTTACTGCAGAAAGGAGGATGGGAAAGAGAAAAAAAAAAAACACAAACTCACCTACAATTCTTGACACCTGATGAGAAAAACTGGACTAAGTAATATTTACTACTAATTTTAGTATGTCTAAATCAAAATTTAATTTCTTGTTACAAGTGGAAGTATCTGAAATTCAAATATTCCCTAAAGCACATTCTGGGTAGGACCAAAAAGTCTTGCTTAAACAACCTTCTACTTCACCTGTCTTAGCTTAAATTGCTCCATGAGTATTCCATGCACTAAAGCACAATAAAGCTTAATATATTTTCCCTTACTTTCAAATAAATCCCTTGTCTTTCGCCAGACAAAAAGCAATTCAAATACTATTTATTCTATAGCAAGTATCAGCTTTTTCATACCACTTCGGAATTGCTGATAAGTAGGTTTCATTTAAAGGAATCTGATGTAGTAAGAATGAATTCTCAACAACTGGGCCACTGTACTTCATCCAGAAATATCGCTATGGTCAGTAAGACTATTACCAAGAGACATTTAGAATCAGATCTCAAAATACTTTGCTTTTTGAAATACAGGATTCCGGATTAACTGAAATTGAAAACCAAAAGGAATACTCTATTATATCAAAGGCAAATGTGTGAGATCAGTTAATTTATTGAAAGGTCACTCACAAATCAGTTACAGAAGAAAGCACCGAAAAACAAATATGCTAAAACAAACACAACAGGAATTCTGAACCAAGTCCAGCTATGCATGGACTTATAATTATGATGCCACCTTCAAATGTACTATTTTATTTATTACTTTAACAGACCTGGAGACTTCAAATTCTGTGACCTGCTTTTCCATCTCACTTTCTCTGGGACTGGCTTTAACTGATTCAAACCCTGACCCATCCTTCTCTTTTTGGTCAGTTGACTGCTAATGCTGTGGGGCAAGGAAGAAGCAACTATGATTAATGAAGGCAAGAAGGGGAAATCAACAGTATCTCCACTTCAGTTTAACTTACACAGTCGTGGACTCATGCATTCAGATACAGTTTTCTCCTACAGCTTTATGATCAGAAGGGGCGAATGCCTCCAGCTCAGTCCTGGCTGTGTCCCATCTCCCACTTTACTCTCTCTAGGCTCTTGTAGCCCTGCAAGTGCTGGATGAGACATTTCCATTGGCTGACACTAGCAACCATCACACTTTGGAGAATTAGGTTTCTCTATCAGCAAAGCTTCACACCTACCTCAGTTAGGTGTAGCACCAACACTCATTCACACACAAATTCATTTCCATTTCTGGCATAGATAACTGCAGTCCAGCAACATTAAATTCATCAGTTAACACCTTCCCTTTCATCACCTGGCTTACTATGATTCATAAATTCACAGTGTAATAAGAATTCAGGTACAAATATACTGTTCTGGTAATTTAGGGTTAGGTACACAACCTCAACAGCCAGGCCAACAGCCAGGCCAGATGTTTGTTTACACAGCACAAACACAGTATAGGGCAGCAGTCCAACACATTTGGTGGGGTCCTTAAGAGTCAAATTTACCAGCAGAATAAAGATTAAATAATTTTTCCACGACAAACTTTAACAACCTTTCAGCACTACATGACTGTACAGTCACCTATCAAAAAAAGACAGAACCAAAGTCAAAGTGACAGCTACAATGGTGATTTGAGTACAGGCTCATATGGGAACATACAGTGATAATTAATCCCTTGTGAGCAAAAGCTGGCTTAGTCCTATAATAAGATAATTGAAAACTGTCAATTCTGCTCTGATATTATTTTTGGATAGTGATCTAATGTTTAATTATATTAATTTGGTAGCTGACTGGCACTTTTTATAATACCTGCCTTCACCTGAACCCTCTGGAGATTCTTTTCTTATGTGAATGCATTAGAAATCTAATTGAAAAATGTGCTTTTAAACATAGTTTCACTTCACTGTTTGAGATTTAGAAATAAGATTGTGTGGACTATAACATACTGTCTCTGCTATATCAAAATCATTGATCTTGTTTGCTAGAAACACACAAATCAATATAACAAGTATAGATTGTAATAGACTAGAAACACAGAAGTATACATTTGATTCATGAGAGGAAATAAGTAAATTGAGGTAGCTCAAGGATTTCTTTCTTTGTGATGGAAATAATTTCAATGGCAGGGAGAACACATTCTTTCAATTGTTTACCAAGGACTGAATTCAATAGATTATTTTTCCCATCAAAATGTCACTTTTCTGCTGTTTTCACATAACAGGCTGTATTTCATACTTCAGAATACCAAACTTTGGCAACAATACATTTTTCTGCAGCACCAACAAGAAAATGAGAATAAGAATACGGGAAAATAAATAATGAGAAATAAAATAAAATCTGTAAAGAAGCTGGCATGGGTCTGGAGCTTCTTACGGAGCATGGAACACAAATGCTAAATTTAAGGAAGACTGAAGCAACAGACTGGGGGGAAAGGGTTTTATCCTACCTGTTTTTCTCTTTAAGGAGTTAAATGCAGATGAAAGAGGTCTCTCAACAAAAGGAGGAGGTGGTAAAGACAAGGGAGTTATTTCAGCATTTTAAGTGACTTTTGAATAGTTTAGGAAAATTCAGCATTTTAAGTGAGTTGTGAATAGAACCTTCAGTTTCTCCTCTTTTAACCAAAAAAGCTCACTCATCCTGATCACAAACATGTTTTCCTTTAAGAAACCTGTAAGGTATTCAAATACAGTGTCAGTGTGGCATCTACTTCATTTTCAAAATTTCCTTTTCTTTCTTCCATTGTTTAATTTAAATACATCACCCAAGAAACTCAGAAAGTTACAGAACCAACTTATTTTTTGGAGGTAACAAAAAGTCAAGTTGTTATTATCATTCTAATTCTTTTTTTGATATCCATCATATGCTGCTTCTTAATTATACCATATTTTCCTATGTGCCTTCTCAGCAAATGAATTTACGTTGAGTCATATATTAAAAATAAAATAATTTAAATGTTACTAAGTGATTAAGTTGACTGATAGTACACACAAGTACTAAAAACATTTTTATTTATTACTATAAACATCAGATATTTGATACAATATGTGATCTGTGGTTAAATACATATTGCCTTCCTTCATAAACAAATATACTCAGGAATAAACTAATAAAATGGGAAGCATTTAATCAGGAAATGTCTCATGAGAATTACAAACATTGCTGGGAGGGAGATTTTTTTTTGTGTTTTTTTCATCTTTGGGTATGCTAGGTTTTTTTGTGGTCACATTTGTACCATGCTCAGATTTCTTAGTGGAGGGGGAAGTTTTTTACACTATAGTAAAAGTTTGCAATGGCAAATACTCTCTTCTGAAAAAGTTAAGAAATGTCTGTTTATCACTATGTTCACACTAATGATTTCCTTTTGTGTCTTGTTTCCCATTTGTAAGTATTTGAGAAGGGAGGTACATACTCAGTATACACAGAGTATTTGGACACAAACTGTGCCTCATTTACAGGCAGTATCTTTACAGATGTACAGGGGTTAGGATAAAGCTATGAAGTTATTACATCAAAGGCTTTATATAAAGCTGTTTTACAGGATTTTCCTCAAACATAATAAAAAATTAAGCAGCATTCCTATGTGACAAGATCTACTAAGCAGAAATGCTATGGTTGAGACAAGTTGTAAATCCATAACTGTAAGGACTACACTTCCAACAGCTAAAATATTATAATTTGATTAGATATTTTTTTAATGAAATAGCTTCATGTTTCATTAAGGAAGTTCACAAGTTCATTTTAAGTGACTACAAATAGCAGTTAGTTCCTCACTTAGTAGTGTTGAAACTAGTAGTTAAAGGATAGGAAATAGCTGGAATTGCTCTTTCATAAAATGTCTGAGATACCTAGGTCTGCACATGATGTCCAGCCAGCACTCTACTCTGCCTTGGTCTAAAGGAATGGTATCTCACAGCAGGAAGGCTAGTTCAGTATTTCCCATTTTCAGCATCAAGTTTCATCTCTATAATCTACAATCAAACAGTGCATGAAAAACCATTCATCAGCACAGTAGAACCTTGTCATGACTCAAAACTTGAAATACTTGGCTAAATCTCACAGCAAGTATAAACTGGCATATTAAACATTTTTGTCTTCCAGCTCTTTTTTTTTTTTGTGACTTCTGACCATGTTTTAATAATTCTTTCACAATTCTTCACACACTACCTCCTAAAACATAATTTATTAGAGCACTCTTTCACCAGAAAAATCTTAGGCAGGGAGAGATTACTCTCTGTAGTTTAAGGGAAAAAAAGCAAAATTCCATAATATGTCACCAAAAAATGCTCAAAGCATACATTCATAATACACCACCAAACCAGTCATGTCTTACGGAGATCTGACAAACTTAAGGAAGAGTACCAATATGGCAGCATTTGCAATCACTGATTCAGAAGGACAAGTTGAACTATCTGCATCCATACAGCACACCAACACTTGAAAATAAATATTAAATAGTGGAAACCATAAAAGAAAAAACTGTTGATATATAAACAGTGTTCAGCAGAGGGTCGGTGTATTTGCTCTTGGAAATTCCCACAGTCTAGCTACAGAAAATTGCAGACCTTGTCCCCATGAGGACAGTGCAAAGATTTTATGGCCACCCTCAGTTCAATAAAAAGACAAAACTGGTACATTTGAAAGCCATTTTGGTCAGGCACAGTTTAATGACACTGATATCATATAATCCTTTGTTCTATCAGACTGACTTGTGGAAGAACTGAGGGTTGCAATCATCCCTTCAGTCTTGAACCACACGAATCAGACATCAGTCTTTCACTGGAGCTACTGACCCCATGCATGAAATCAGCCAGAAGGTGGACCAGATGCAGACAACTAAGGCTGCTGAGGCAAAACTGAGCTAATGCCAAAAACCTGTGGAAATCAATCAGAACAGTAGGAGATTAGTTCAATACTTTTGCTTGCCAGCACAAACAAAATTATTGTAATAAGTGTATGGAGCCTTGCTCTGAGGTAGAGCAATCAAGACACAGTGCCATGGCTGCTATGAAGGCAAACTTTGTAGGAGCAGTGGCCAGGTGAAATTAACGCAGAGAATATTGGCCCTGTTACTGAGCTGGTGAAACAGATTTCTTACAGGACAGAAGGAAACCTTTCCCCCTTCCTGGAGTAAATACACGGTTGGTCTTTAATAAAAACTCGTAAGTAAATTTTAAAGAGAAATGCCCAGAAAAAACCTAAGTTTCAATCAAGTGATGACAGTGTGCACAGCTTTTCTGGGGAAGAAATAAAGTGCATTTCTTCTCGTACAAGATCACACCTAAGGGTCTCATTAATTCTTGGGAAACTCTTATTCAAATGGAGAGTCATAAGTAAGCACTATTTTTTTTGTCTATTCTGTTTGTAAAAAGAAATATGTAAGGAAAGAGAGTCCCAGTTATGTTCATTGCTATGTTTATCAAAAACTGTCACATCAGGACCAGATTACTGTAACATAATCCATCCAGACCACACAAGGCCAGCTAAAAGCTGAAGGCAGTGCAGAAAACAGCTGCTTGTTTAACTTTGCTATATGCTGGCACAATAATACAGCTTGCCTGTAGATTGGCCTCTAGCTATATAGTGTTCCTCAGACGGCTGTTACTACTTAAAGCCTTACACAGGGTACCATTTGTTTACCAGCAAACATCCAGCTAACACCCTACTTTACAGTCTTTGAAGAAGAAGTATAAAAGATCAGGTGTTTTCTGTGAAAAATCCTTGATTTCAGAGCTCACTCCTCAGCAGAAGGTAAAGCTTGCCAATTTTACCAGACCAAGCTTGCATTTTTTCTCTTCACACGGGAGGGAATACTGACTGCAGAGCTTATTATGAAAATTGGTTAAGCCTCATTGAGTGAGAATGTCAAGATTTTCCTTGGGATGTGATGTAAAGATGTATTTTTTAAAAAGCATCCACAATTTTTGCCTGTTAAGATTTTAACAAGAATAATGTCATATACTCCTCATTGAAGTTTCCTTCTCACTTCTAAGAAACATTCCAATTTCTCTCAGGTCAAAAATCTACTTTTTAAAATCACCTGCATGAAATGACTGCACAGACATTTTCTGTGACACAGACAAAGAATTTTCTCAGACAATTTGGTTATCAGGAAGAACATCAAAAGATAACTTATATACAAATATGACCTCAGCATTTATTTCGTTAGTAAGCCACAAAAAAATGAGGATACTGTATTTTTTGAACTTGCTGTATCTCCCTCTGACAGTCTCAAGTCTACCAAGAAATTCTTCATATTTACTTCCTTCTATGAGAACAAGATTTGCAGGTTTTAAATAAGCTTTTGTATAATTATTGAATATCCATTTATTATTTCAGAAGTTTTGTGACTTCCTAATACAAAAGGCTTACATTTGCACAAATCCATGATTTGCTACCACAATAACTGGAAAATAAGTTACTTAAAAATTTTGAAGCATTTTAGCTGTTTTCACATCCCGGAAGTGAACATTCAACTTCGTTCCAAATTAAACATCATAGAGACAACATCCTTATCTAGTCATGCAAGTAAGTAACAAAGTTAATCCTGTCTGAAAGGGTGCAATGAAATTGTGCATGGGGAAAAATCTTGCTATTAAAATGTTTTATCATTGCAAAACCAATGTCTAGATCAAGACCATCCATAGTACTTCTATGACTATAAACCCCACAGAAATATTTGTTTGCAATTCTCCACTGTATGAGACCATCTCCTGCTCTTCCTCCAGGAATACATGCCATGATGGCGTAAAAGCTGGAAACAAGCACGCACACACACACACACCCCTTTGTTTCTCATCAATAGCCACTTCTTTCACCAGTACTTAAACTAAAATATTTAAATCCTAGAGAACAATTTAAGGAGTGTGTCCCAGCTACTTCTGCTGTGGCACACACAACATTTTAGTAAAGAATAATCAAGAGAGCACAACATTCCCAAATCTTTCTGAGGAAGCTAGTAAGTTAAAACTTCAGCTTCAGAGTAAGTAGCATACAGCTTCTGAGCTCTATGTCTTTTTTAAAAAGAAAAGTAACAAAAGCATTGCCAAACTCAAATAAAGGTGCATGAAAGGTTGTCCAAGCATAATGAAAACAATCAACTGTAGTAAGACATACAACTGTGGTAATCTGTTGGATGGGGGAGAAAAATACTGCCTGCCACATTAGCTTTTAAAACAGAAGGCAATGTTTTCTATATTTCTGCTGACTGGTTTAAATGATTCCTTTTGTCTTCTTCATCTTTTAAATAAATAGAAATAGATCAGCTCTCTTTCACCACAGAAAAAGAATAACAGAGACTATAGTCCCGACTCTTTAAAAATCCCCAGTAGTCACTCTATACCCATAAACAATTTATTCTTAGAGCAAGAATACATGGTTTTGGCCAAGTGAAGATGCAATTCACAGGGTAACAATACAATGGAATAAATGTTGTCTGTATTGAAATTAAAAGTTTGGGTTCATCCCAATGTCTTACCAAACAGCTGCAATTCAGCCCATTGTTTTGTTAGGGCTGGGGCAAATGAATAAAGCCATCACCACCTGCAAAGACCCTCACTAAAGTATTGAATACCACAAGGTCAAGAATCTACCCCTGTGAATCAGACATCAAAAAGGCATGTGCAGGGAATAGTCTTATTTTCAATGAATGCTATGACAACTGCAAAATTCTGCAAGGCTTTTAGTTAGCATGTGATATACATTTTTTCTTAATTTACATGACCAAAAAGATAAAACTTGGTTTAATAGCAATATTACCTTTCTCTACCAAACATGTAAACTCATCAATAAAACCCTATAAATAGTTTAGCAAGGATCTATTATCCATAAGGTCATAGGGTCACAGAATCTTTTAGGCTGGAAAAGACATTGAAAATCAAGTCTAACCATAAACCTTGCACTGCCAAGTCCCTAAGTGCCACATATACAGATATTTTAAACACCTCCAGGGATAAGGACTCCAGCACCAGGCAGCCTGTTCTAATGCTTGACAACTCTTTCCATTGGAAAAAAACTAAACCTTAATATCCAACCTAACCCTTCCTTTACACAACTTTAGGCTGTTGCCTCTTGTCCTACCACTTGTTACTTGGAAGAGACCAACACGTTGCTCAGATCTCCCCTGTGCCACCTTTCCAGTTAAGACTGATTTGGTAAGATTTGATTTTCACCCATATATTGTCTTTATGGAGAATATTTTGCATTTGACATTCACATTATCATCAGGACAAAGTGGAAAATAACTGATGCATGCTGAACCTTTTCTTTTTAATTACTGATTGATCATCTTTATGGTGAGAAAAAGATACTGTGAGAGTAAAATAACTAAAACAAAACTGAACAAACTCCCACAACACATTTTTTATATTAAATACACTAAAAAAGAACAGCAAAAATACAGACTGGTGTTATGTGTTATTCACTTGTTTATAAATATAACTCCTAATATTTTGACCAACAGCCCTCTATTCTCATCTAAAGACCTGCATTATGTAGCAGGCACGTACATGATTCCTGTTAAAGGACAAAAATAATTTATTTGTTCACTTTCCCACATTAAATGCAGATAATTTCCACCTATTGACCATAAAATCCACATTATTAATTAGCTGCCTCCTTGCTAGCAACCACTATACTTTGTTTCTGGAAAGTACAGAGCTGCAGTTCCCAATGCTCCCCACTGAAACTAGCAAAGCTATCTGAATTTAGACCAGTTAAATTATTTTCACATGGTGTGGGAGAGAGCATATGAGCATGCAAAAATGAGCAGTGTCATTATAAGGTTTAAGATTTACAGTGATTGCTACAATGTCATACACCATTTAATATCCATCCTGTCTAATAACATCATCTATTTAGAAGACTTCTATGCATTTGAAACACTAAAGATTTAATTTTACTCTTCTAGGGAGTTTTAATTCTCATTTTTATAAACATAAGTTGACAGGGGGAATTCTAGCAGTAGGCCCACAGATCATCAGGTTACTTTTGATAAACAGGATTAACAAATCATCATTTAAGGACAGCTATTCCAGACCTAAACAAATGTGAAAGAGCAGTATTCATTTTAAAACTGACAGTGCCTTTTCTTTCAAATCAGCAGACCAGTAGTCACACCAGTCTAAGACATGACAAATCTGCTGTTACCTTCTCCCCTCAGGCCTTACCTTTTGATCTCTGACTTCTTACAGATAACTGTATTACAGCAACACAGCATTAGAAACACAGGATGAAACAGCTCCCACAGCTCTACCCAACTTACCAAAGACTGATGAAGTAGAAAGATCATGTCAGAACAGCCAGATGGTACCACTGATGAGGGAGGATATTCCAAAGTCCAAGGTAACAGCTGTCAAGGCAAACCTGCCAACTCGTAACTTGTCTGTAGCTACCCAGCATCTTGGATCCAATGCATATGGACCAAAAATAAATAAAAATCACCAAATGAAAGCCTTCACATGTCCTTTTCTACTCTTTCTCTCCCTGCTCCCCCCTCCCTCCTCCCCCTTTTCCTGTACCTTCTTATCTTCAACAGGGAAAGTGAGGATCGGGGCTCAGCCACAAGAATGACTTGCCATTTATTCTGTACCATGCCAATCCAAAATATTTTTAAGTTAGTAAAAATGTTCTGTAGTATTTCAGAATCTCATAAATCATTTAGTCTGTTTGATATAGCAACAAAACCAGTGAAAATCTCCAAATTTAAAACACTAGGTGTTTTACTTCTTTTTTAAAAGGCTTCATTTAAACCATTTGCCATAAGATCCAAAGCGTGTTTACTGTGAAATGCTACATAAAATGCAACTGGAACTGGACTGCTGGCCCTTTTCTCATTGATCTATTATCTCCCTACCAGAAGCTAATTGGGAGAATAG